AGAAATTTAATTAAGTACCTACCTTTGTAAGTGTTGCATGATTGGAGAAGCTCTCGAAGGAGGGTGCTTGTTGAGCTGGTGCGGCCGTTACGGCGACGATGACGATGGAGATGAGCGTGACGACGCGACGCATCTCACTACTGACTCTGATGCTGGGGGGTTCCGATCGACACAATTCGGCACCGGATTGGTGTGATCGTGGTGGTGGTGGATCGAAGAGGGGGCCGTACGTTCGGTGGAGGCCTACATTTTCCCCCCGGTTTCACCCCGTCGCTGCATGCCTCATCAATACGGTTGACCTGAAAACGTGTTCGGTGAAGTTCAGTTCATCGGCAAATATCCGCCGCTCATCGTCATCCCATCATGCACTGGAATCGTCGCCGTCAAAAACTGTCGCCATTGTTCCATTCCATAAAGGGCCTTTAACGGGATACACGAAAGTTCCAAGAAATGCTAAGGGTGCCCGATCGGCGCCATTTAGCCTCACTCAATGGCGCCTCTTTAGCAAAAGACCCTCCCCCTCTCAAGGGAACTGAAAAAAATCTGCGCTTCATGATAAGATTGAAGAGATCGCGCTCTGCATACAGGACGAATTAGTATTACTACATAGTAGTGCAATGACTTGATAGTATTATTACATATCGGAGCTGAGGTTATTTGGAAACTGCAAGTTAATGTTTGTGGAGAATCGAAAGTTTCAGGGTCGGGGAAATAGAAAGTGACACAGTCAAGCATTTCGTTCAGCCCTTATTCAATATAAAACAAAAATAACATCTTCTGAGTTCAGTCCCTATGAAATCGAAGGAGTTACGAATGAGACCCTCTGATTGACGGAGAGGGAGGGCCTCCTTACCCTTTAGCTCCTATAGGGCTTCCTTTTTTCAGGAGAGAGAGTTCCCACATGCTATTCAAACCAAGCCTCCATGTTTCTCTCTCTCTTTCTTTTTTTTTCTCTCTCTCTCTAAATGCAGAAGAGGAGAACTATGGGATTAACCGTGAAGAACTGCGAGCTTTGCTGTGATGCTGTGCCAAAGTATCGAATCAAAAGTGGGTCGTGGTATCTCGAATCCACGGATGAAGCTTTGCTCTCATGGCGTCCTGGAAGTGTCCCTTGAGGGGGAGACATTTTAGCAGATACTGACCCTCAGCTAATTTTTTGCTGCGCATTTCACTCGCTCTTGTCGCTATTGCGATGGTTTCGAGCTTCACGCTCATTTTCATTGAGGACTATGTCATACAAGGGTGTCTCCACGCTTTGGAGGGCAGTAGGTAGTCTGGCTCGTTTGCCCCTTGTCGTAGGAGGGCATTGATGAAGCTGCGCTGTCCATTAACCAGGAATGAAATTAAGCCAATTATGGTTAAAAGCGAACGGTCGCGCGGATGACTTATCGAAGATGAAACGATTGTGATGGCGAAGGTTAAATGAAGCAACTTTGCGTTCAGTTTTGCGGCGAAAGTTGCTAAGGTAGACGAAGTTGGAGGCGTAAAGTGCTTGCGGTTTTACCTTCCATTTTTAAGTGCCGCTTCCGCTTCCAGAGTCCGCCTTCAAAGTACAGCGTTCGCGGTAGCTGCCGGAACAAAGAACAAACCTTTAAAAAAATGAAATGCTCCATTGTCTCTTGTGGGGTCATAGAGTTGGTTCATTGCAAGAAATCAACCCATGGGCTCGTTCCAAGGCGCGGCATTTTGATTTATCCGTTCGAGGCTAGAGTTGTTTTGTCAAAAGCGTCCGACGTTTCTTTTGGCCATTTTGTCTTCGCGGCACAAAGTCAATTGACAATTTATCTTCTTATTTCAACACCATTACCTACGCTCTTTATCGAATACGGTTGTTCAAACTGCCAAGATCAGATGGTTTACTTTTTAGCTTTACCCTGAAATCATTTAATGGACTCTGAACCACTCTTACTACAGCCTAGCACCTCAACTTCCATAGAATTACTTTACATCGTGGTCGTAAGATACTGTTGTAGTGAACTGGAGATGAAGCAACTGTCGGAGAGGCTAGATGGGCACTTGAATTAGATTTGAAACGTCTGAATTCATTTGCATTTTAAAGCTCATTACAGCCCATAACACTTCTTAAATCAAAGCTGTAGAACAACTGGAGCCACTTCCAACTGTGTAACTTAGGCGTAGACAAAGAGGTTAGATGATGGATCAAGCGCTCCGTGCGCAAGCGCTAGCCTACCCAAGTGTGAGGATGACGCCCTAACGCCCTCTGGTTAGCGGGAAGGGGAGGCTACCCTTTACCTCTTAACGGCTCTTTTTTCAGGGGCAGAGTTTCCACAAGGGGTAGCCAAACCGTAGACGAGGAGGCAAACCTAGGCCACTTCATGAGTTATAACTTGAATTTTTCGTAAAATACAACCTAATACCTAACCCTGGGAGATTTTAGTCAATTCTAAAACTTTTGAGCCAGCTTCTATGGTTGGGTCGTGGTCCCTAATGGAATAAGCAAATTGTTGAGTTTCGTACTGAGATTACTAATACTGAGACCAGTTAATTTAGTCTTATCAAAAAAAAGCGAGTAGAGAACTCGAGCACAGTACGCCTGCACGGGAACTGTTGGAAACTGCTCTTTCTCTGGAGGCGCAACAAGGTCATTACCCCTCCCTCGAGTAACCCTTTCCTATATGAAACGTAGTAATGAATCCTATTGAATCTACTAACAACCGCTGGTACATTGATGGATGTGGAACCTTTTCGACCAGCTGTTACCATGAGAACTCGTCCAATGATGTTAAATAGACCTCATAAATCTCCACTGTGAATTGCTTAGATGCATTTGCTGGAAATTATGGTCCATTTGACCTGCTATTTCGGTTTTCGTCCCGAGAACGCCCAATGTATGCTGTTCAAACCTCAGAAATATATCGAATTTATTACTGTAATTTCAATATTATTACCAACACGTGTCAAACATGAATTAGAAATTTAACTTGATTGAACTAACAATGGAAGTTATTTTCTTAACAAGTTCAACTTATTAACATTATCTATCGAGTAGAACGCTATGTACAACATAATGCACGGAACCTCGGCCGAAGTACACGGTATCTGGATGTTCAGGTGAAAGTCGATCAATATTCAATAGGTAAATTGAATAAATAACGAAAATAAATAACAACACGCTTGGTATGGAATGCATGAGGCGATATGACGTGAAAGGAATGGATCGGGAAAAGTGAGTCGGAAAGACGATTGAAAACCCTAAGGATCAGATCAGACAGGAATGAAGATGGCGAGTTCAGAGATAGAGAGCAACTTGGGACGAATTCAACCGTGAATGTTGAAAAGTGACGGTGGGAACGTGCACAACGAATTTTCTACTGGTGCAACGATATTCAGAAGGCGTGATATGCCATTGACAAGGCCCTTCTTCTCCAGGATCGTGTTCACCTCGGTCTCGTAACGCTAAAAATAATTTATACCTTTTTTCAATAATCACTGTGTTTGTACAAGAAGGATGATGACTACAGTCTTCTCAATGTGACCCATTTGCTTCCTTGCGCTAAAAAGTTTTTAAAGACTTTTTTAAGAATTTTTGCTTGTAAGCAGCACCTTTTGGGACACGCCACGCAGCCTATTTCAACCTTGAATCTCCTCCACATTTTGCATGCAACTTGGCCCTAGTCAGATACTAAATGTGTATTTTCCCTTCCGAGCAAGTCCGGGACCAAGTAACCCACAGTTGAAGGTTTGCCTAAGCCTATCTGAGATATGGCCACGGGGCGGATTTCGTGGTATGCTGTCCCTTTCACCACTGGACCACCTGCTTCTTGTCAAGACTGCCATGAAAATTTAGCCTAGCACTCAATTACGCCACAACTTGTCCATCACTTTCTGCAGAACATGTGCAGTACTGCAGTGCAAATCATACTGCAGTACAACTAAACAGTCAAAGTCCTACGCACCGGCTCTGCACAATAGGTGATTTCCACAGATTACAAAACTCACATTCCGACAGGTGATTTCGAGGCATTTGGGAAACTTTTCAATCCTTTTACTGAAACCCGGATTACTCAACTTCCCACTGTCTCTCTATTCATTATGCCCTTTTGACAGAACCCGTTGATTCCACTGTGACCTATTTTACCACACCTAATACTGGTGAGTTCATCTATGCACCATTATGTGCACAATGGAGATGGTCGCCGTGCACTAATAAACACAATTTTCTCATACAATGGGTCTGCCACCGTAATCTTCTCCGTCAAGGTTGTACTAGTTAAAGAGTTCATGGTAACTCTTGATGGGAACTACATTAGCGAAACCACACTTGGCAGGGTTGTCCCTTCCTGTTCGCTCATGAGGGGTCTTCGGGGGACTTCCAAAAGCCACATGGGTGTGAATCGGCTCCTACAGGAGCCTTCAAGTCTTCAATCCCTCCAAGTCGATTAGTTGGCCGAGCCCGGAAAGATTGCGTTGCGCATCTCAGAAAGCTACCATTGCGTTTGGGTTATATTACTTTGTGCTACCGTTGTGTCTTGCTTTGAGATAACCTGCGCCTCAGGCTTTTCTTTTGACACACTGTATCCCACAGTGGGAGGGACCGTACTTACGGACTCAGTGTCGCTCGTGACAGCGGCATCGAGGAGTGCTCCCGTTCCTACAACTACTCGACTTCGTTAGGCTTCATTTTCATTAGTTGAGTGTCATTAGGTTCCAAGTGCGAACAGCGAATCATTTCGTTGGTAGAAACAAATTTTTTCAAGGCCACTGCCACGCGGTCCATTAAGTACGCAGTTACGACCAATCTGTTTCTTGGATACAGAGTGTGTATTCTTGATAGAGTAGCTAGCTGACCACTGAGTATTTAAGCACTTGATCACCAACCTGCCTATACGTAACTGGATCACGAGCGAACACGTAGAGTGGGAAGTTACAGTTGGTTGACATGATCGCATAGTCGTACTCGTTATTCGCATTTAACGGTCCCACATGAAGTACGTGCACTGAAACATGTCCGATATAGTGATGATTATTGTCGTTGAATGGTTATGATTGAGTCATGCATGACTGCAACTGGCCCGTTGGTCACTCATGTCCGTTCCGCATTCAATTTGACCCACATCAGTGAAACCGGATTACTTGTGAGTAACCAGTGTGTGAAAGAGGAGAGTCAACATATGGATGTGGTTCGACACAAAGGACAAATGTACACAAACTACGTCACGGGGGATTTTGCCTTGCCCCTTTCCATTTTAGGCACCTTACATGCGCGTGACAAGCGAATTTGGACCAGAAGAAAAGCTGCTCTCACCATTCACGTCTTCTTGGTTCGATGTGGTCCTGTAGATGAGCTCTCCAGGCGAACGGATCATTGCATAGCCGGAACTGATCTTTGGCTTGCCGTAAGGGGTTCCATCAGTTGTATATTCGAAGGTCTCGAAAATTGAGCCAGGTCCTGAAAAGGGCCCCTTTTTTAGAGCGCCTTCAAGACTTGTTCAAAGTGCGCACCTCCGTTATTGACATCGTTGAGCTTCTTGTATGCTACCATACTACATTGACCAGTAGAGAAGGGTGGGCTGTAGACTACCTAAAAATGAAGAAGACTAGGTAAAAAGGGATAATATAAAATATTTCTAGTGAAAGAAATGAGTAGGACGAGTTGTTTGCCAACCACATGATTACGCTCGAACAATACAAAACAATGAACAGCCTTGGATATATCGAAAACGCTTGATTCGAGGTCAATTCACTTGTTAGGCGAGTAGAAAACCGAATCATCGATTAAAATTTAAAAAGTAATAAACCGAATAAGTCAAATCACTGGCGTACAACTGACCTGATACCATTGGCCCATAAATGAGTAGAAATCAAAGGCAACTGGTTCCGGTTTTTGAGTACAAAGTGGTGACGATGGTTGAATGATGAAGTTCTGCACCATTTCCAGATTTTCTGTGATAGCCGCTGATTGAGCAGGAGTAAGAACAATCGAGCCGTTGCTCAGAGGAGCGAATGGATTTTCAGGATTCTCAGCTTTAGTGTCGTTGGGCTGAATAGATACAGCTCTTGGAAATGTTACTGCTTTGACCTGCATTCTTTCACGAACCTGCACGCTTCCTGACGTGAGTGCCTTGTACAAAACGTTTGAGATCATATTCTTAGCTGGGAGTGGGCTATTTTCTCCTCCGATCAAGTTGGACACAGCCTTGCCGAAAGCATTCTTGTCCTGAAAATTTTTTTGTACTGGTATACCTTCTGGAGTGGTGAAGTCACTGGTGTATGTCAGTAGTACGTGCACCGTGCAGCGTGTCGCGTAAGCATGCCGCTATCCGTTCTGGCAATTAAAACAGTTGGTAAAGCCGGTCTCTGCTCAACCATCGCATTGTATGGCTCACCCATTTATAACCCTGGGGATATTGGTCCTGAATAGATTCGCTCCTATGTAGATTTTTTCAAAAAAAGATTGCACGCTCCTAATGGCATCCTCACGCGAGGACGTTGTTGTACCACTGACATGCACTCCGGGAGTTACCAGTTACGCACTTCGGCACTGGCTTTTGCACCAAGCGCTCCACCCTTGTTGGCCTCAGCGAGCTTCTTTTGTCCCATGCCGATCAGATTGAAGATGGTGCCAATAAGACCACCAGATGAAGTTGAAGACTCTTCACCGGCGAACTGAAGTAAGACTTGAAATTTCAATTCAGCTCAAAGATATTCAAATGTTCACCTCGTCCTCAAGCATATCCGATGAATCGTCGTCATCAAGAGATGAGGCTACACCTGAGACGGACTGAGGTGAACGTCTGATGTCGGCGGGTAGAAATCCACCCTCAGGTACCTTTAACGAGTATATAGAGCTTAACATTACTACATCAAAATCTATCTAAACTCTTCCAGTATACCTCTGGGGCAGCAGGAATCAGAGGAAGATTAGGAGTCCCTCCAATGATGCTTGGCTCTCGTCTCCGTATTGGCTCTGGCTGAGCGATGGGCGCCTTGGGAAGTTTTGGAAACACCTCAAAAGTTACACATGGTTACCTCTAATTACTCTGTAATGTTGCAAAATGATACGCTATACCTTTGGAATACCCATAATGGAACTTTTGGGTTCTTCACCGGACCCTTCCACTTCTTCTGAGGTGCTCTTCTGCAAAAATGATACCTTTTACAAAGGAATTTTTTCGACCATAATGAGAATGTTAGTGTATGTACCGCTGATGAGTACTACCCCATTCCACTTATCAGAATTAATACTAGTGAGTACAGTATGAAATTACTGTAGCGGTGGGCATAGAGTTTGGCCTAGTTTCGCGTTGAAATGTGAATCCGATAGGTAATCCGATTAAACGATTCTCAGTTCTATCATCAATCACAGGAAACCACATTCCGACAGTTACGACATCTCGGCCAAACGATTTCATTTTCACGGTGATTTGTTCAATGATTAACGGTTTCGTACGAGATTATCACTTGGCGTGATTTGCCCTGATTTTCCTGTGTCATAGAAAAGGAAAAAAATTGAGGAAAAAAAGTGAAAATTCAAAACAAACCTGTGGAGCTCTACGCATAGTGGAACCGAATGAGGTTACAGGTTTGTTATTGTTCAATAAAGAGAATCCAGAGCCGAATCCAGGAGGTAAAGCTTGGCCACTTGCCGGTTCAGGAGCAGTGAAAAACTGCTCGAGGGTACGCTCGAGAGTCGATGGTACATGAACAGGTTTGTTACCACTAACCGGCTCTGATGGTGCACCAATCTCATAAGTCTTTTCAGGGAAAAGACCACCAGGACGTGGTCCCAGTAATGAGTCAACGAGTTCACGAGCGTGCCCATCAAGCTCGAAAAACGACGAATATTCAGGTGGTACAGTAGGTTTTGGTGCATAACGTGGTGCTTGTGGTAAGGCGAATGCGTCATGCTGACCGTTGGCCAACGAGATGACCACGACGGCAACAACCAACGCACACAACCACTGCATATCCGACTGATCCGCGGCGCTACTGGACACTTCTAGGAGAACGCGTTGACGGAGCTGATCGACACAGAGACTGAATGCCCTTTATGACACGATTTATTGCGAGATACACAGAGACACACAAACAGAGATATTATGTGGTTGGCGTGGGGCGTGGAGAAGGTGTTGTGGTGACGGCGTTAACACAACGACGGAGGGCGTCGTCGATGGGTGGACCTGAGTGCGGCGACCAGCGCGGCTACGGACGGTGGCGATGACGACGATGGTGTATGGTGAAACGAGGTCAGTGAGTCGTTGGTGATCGAGGCGAATCAGTGACCTTGGTTGCCCACGAGACGCTCGAGTGTCTTCTTCGGATCACGCAGTATATCCGCCAATGGCATACCGGACATGGCTGGCTCAGCGGTACCATTGCGGCTGCGCTCAGCCAGTTCTTGATTCTTCAGCACTCTGAAACAGTGATAATTGTATGAAAATTATGGAATTAGCCCTAGGAATAGGTATTCTCACTCATCATTAATTGGCCTTCTTCTGCTACTGGTCAGGGAAAGCTTATACTTCAGACACCCATCAAAGGATTTTCCTGGCCCTGTGGGACTGATCAGCAAACCAGCAGTAGCCCTATCATGAACCACCGCTAGAGTGCTGAGTTATGGGCAAAAGTCTTGACACTATACGTGACTCAATTCCGCGTCTCACGAATTGCTTGAGGTACGGGGTCGAGACCTGCCTGGGCGGGGGGGGGTCCAAACTTGTATTTACTTTTCGCTCATTTCCCCTTACTTTTGCCCATAGCTCAGTACTCTTAAGATAAGTTTCGGAGCGCGAATGGCACCGTTAAGCAGCAGTCATCATAACAAAACAACTTCCCGGAGCACCCCATACTTTATATGGGACCGTAAAGGTGTCAAGGTGGCCTTCACAAATGGGGCCAAATAGGCAAATGCTGCTGAGTCATAGAGTATGGCCCAGTCTCACTAAATTTCTAGTTCAGCATGAACTGGCTTGGGCTGGGATAAAGAACCTTGAACCATAAGAACGATCCTAAGCTAATTTTTTTCATCGAATACTGATTTGCGCCCACACCCTGACTACGGGAAAATGCAGGGTCACAGGATCCGGAGTGAGTTACCACTCCACTAGTCTAGTATGACTCAAAAGCTGGAGCTTGGAACTCACCGCCTGGCGAAGACCTCCTTCTCTGAAGGCCATTCACAGTCTGGTCCTTGATAGATAGGCCGAGGACTGTTCCAGAATACACGACCACCGAAACCTTTCTTCTCCATGAACTCCAGAATGTCCTTGTTGTACTTCTGCAATAAATTGCATTTGCCTTCAAGTCAAGTCTTACAATTTGAGTAACTTTTTCGGAGAGTAGTTCTTCACTGCATGTAGGTAATCCCCAATATCTGATAGCCCGTGCTATTCTCAAAGAATCTGGCACCGTTTTTTCGCTGATAATCTTAGGGTAGCGCTGACAACAAATCGCGTAAGGGTTACGTAATGCTGATTTTCATGGTGCATGACCCAGATTTTTTCTCCGGCGCGCTCATTTCGGAGCTCGTTCTGGACGGCGACGTTGCGTAAGTCGGCACCCTGTGTTACAAGATCCCAAGATTGCACGCCAGACACTTCAGGTCAATGCGGTCATCGCTGAAATGAAAACTCGATTCGGTGCTTCTGATAAGATCTGGCGGAGATCTCGCCACGCTAATATCCAAATAAACAGATCTCATCGCTCTCGTTGAACACCTATCTACACCTTCGCCATTCCCGTAAGAACTGAGGAGAAACTCTACCTGGAAAAAGATATGTGGATCTCGGGCGTAGACTGCAAGGGATAGTCTATTGGCGTCTGTGACGGCAATGTACTGAATTGGTTCGTCTGCTTTGCCAGTCTCGTTATGGAATGAAGGACCAGCCGCGATGATGTAGACTAAACACACCTGCTCATTTTCTCATCTTTTCAAAAAATACTTGAAAATGCCCACATTGTCTGGGGTAAAAGTACTCCTCTGTGTACATCCAGTATTGACCAGGTCCAACTTTGTTCATATCACGTTTGTACGTCTCAATTGGCCCAGTTTTTGACACTGTTCTATAGGCCTCTTCCATTGAGAAACCGTCTTCACCCATTATGGGATTCGGCGAGACTGTAAACGGTAAGTTATACGACCGAACGTAAATTGAAAACGGTCCAATTTATTGACGCCGACATCTGTCAAAAAAACTGGGACAACTCCAACTTACAGTACGCAACCGGACAGAACATCTGCGTTCGGAATACGTCGAAATTTATGGCTGCTTTGTACATCTGAATAAACAGTTTCAATGTTTCGAAAACAACAGGGAACCCCGAATTTTGTAAAACTTCTGTAAAACTGTTCATATCCTAGAGCTATACTACTTTACTCTATGGTAAGTGACCGATACGTAAATAATTCAATATTTGCTAACCTGGAACCACCGTCCCATTATTAACTCCGACGGTACATTGATAGTGTCAACATTGGTTTCCAACATTCGTCCAATACCACCGATAATACCAGTGATCGTTAATGTCCATCTGAACGTGCGATTGATGGTTGTTAACAGTAAGAATTTTACTCGAGTAAAATGAGATAATCACTGATCACATAAGGGCATGTCAGCGCTACGTTTCGAAGCCACAAGCTCACTAGAGCCAACCTTATGGAAAGATCGAGGC